CTTTTTCCTTGTTAACTCGTTCTACGAAACGAATACGAATGGGAAGAAAGTTTGAGCTTTTCTCTTAACAAGGGAGAAGCGAGTTACGCGCTATTGCTCAAAACCATAGTACCGTGGAAAAGTTGGTTTGTTAAAAGACAACGAGAACAAAATGTATATCTTTCATTTTTTCCATACCGTTGAGTCGAATCGCACAAACGAGTAATTCATATTTTTCCCCTTTTTCTATAAATTATTATTCGAAGTGTAAGAGATAAGAGTAACTACTCTCTCTATTTTGTTAGGATAAAATAATTAAATATAATATTTATGCAAGAAAACTTATATTAAAAAAAGGGGAAAACTAATAAATTCTCTATTAATAATAATATTACTTCGTTTACAATGTTAAACAGATAGTAATAATTCATTTCGATATCTAACAAATGATTTTAACAAATATATATATATATATATATATATATATAATAAATATTCGTAAATTTACAATTAAAATACACGTGTAAATAAAAATCCTTTTAAATACTTTATTATACATATATATATATATATAAATATATCGAACAAAAATAAGCATTAATAACACATTAATAATATATATATATATCTATCAAAGAAAATACAATAATTTAAGAAGAAAATAAAACAAAAGGAAAAATGTCAAAGAAAAAAAAGAAGAAAAGGTGGGCGTTCAGAGGAAAAAAAGAGAAGGGTGCGGTTGAATCGAAAAAGGGTGTTTGGAGGGGAGACATTTTGATCGTCGTGCCCCCTGTACGAAAGGAACGAGGGTGGATGGAAGAGGGTAAACGAGAGGACACGAGGGGGTGGAACTGGCCGGCAGGCAAGCAGGCAGGCAGGCAGGCACTGCTGCCGATCGATGCCGCAGCATCGTGTATCTCTCTCTTCCTTTCTCTTTCCCTCTCTCTCTCTCTCTCTCTCTCCCTCTTTCTCTCTTTCTCTCTCATTCTCTCTTTGTCTCTTTCTCTCTCATTCTCGTTTCCCTGTGTTTCAAACTGCGTATACTTGCGTGAGTATTCGTGTACGCGTGCACACACGCACGTCCGCACGCAAATGAACGAACCCAATGGGTTTCTGTGTCCTCCGTTCAACTGGGTATACTATCTGAATTGACAGTGAGGAGGGTTTAAGGGGGGCAGGAGGAGGGGAAAAAAAAGGGGTTGCTATCTTTGCAGAATCGTGCCTCGAAGGCTGACCGACTCTCTCTTTCTCTCTCTATCTTTTTATTTCTTTTTTTTTTTATTTCCTTTTTCACCCCCTCTCCCCTTTTTTTTCCTTTCGATTCTCCGAGGATTTCTCTTCTATGTCTCTCTTATTTTCTTTCTTCCTTTCTTTCTTTTACTTTCCAAAGAGGCAGGATCGAATCCCTGCCAATTTTAAAGTTTTCCCTTGGAATAAGAGAATAAAATAACTATACAATACCAACGTGTATATATATATATGTGTGTGTGTGTGTGTGTGTGTCTATTCTTTAAAGAACGATATTTCCAGAAAGAATAAAATACATACATCTACCATTTCGAACCATATAAAATCATTGAATTAAAACCATGCTACTTATATATAATATATATAAAAAAAAAATAAAAAATAAAAAGAAAAAAATATATATGAGAAAAATTGGCAAGACAATTAATCGACACATTAAATTTGTATATAACCACGTAGGTGTTCAACCCGGTATAGATCGATCGGTCGCCGGCAACGGTGCGATGGGGGTTGGGGGATGGAAATGATGGTGCTGGTGGTGCTGCTGGTGGTGCTGCTACTGGTGATGGTGGGGGATCGGTATAAAACGTGTGCGGCAACGCGTCGATAATAATTCGACGAGTGATTTCGACTCGTAGCCCGGGACCCTCCTTCTACCCCTTACTCACCCCCTTACCCCTTGTCCCTTGCCCCTCGTGATGTTATCACCTTTATCTCTTGCGTACCTTTTAATACGGTCATACCCCCCTTCCCTTGTCTCTCCTCCCCCTCCCCCTGCCCCTCCCTCCCTCCCTCCTCACCTCGCCAATACCCAGCAAACCCTTTTACCATCGCCAAGCTCGTTCAGCTCAACGAATTCGTGATTTCACGCGCTTCTAACCATGCTGACGAAGCTAAAATTAATCGTTTGTCGCTTGCTATTCGCGTTTATATGTGTTCGCATAGTTATATGCATTATATATATATATAGATATGTGTATATAGAATACATTCAGTTACCGGTTCGGCCATCCGTCAATCCGATCCCTCAGATCGGTACGTCCGTTTGTCCAACCGTGCAAATAATTGCCCACTCGTCTCTTTCCACCCATGCCAATCCTCAACTATCTATCTATCTATCTATCTATACACTTTGTTTTACCTTTTTTGTTCCTTCATTCGCGCGAATTTTCATTTTCATTCGAGTCGTCCGAGCGTATACGGAAAGCTTTTCGATTAAATTTAACTAATTTGACTAATTATAACTAATTGTAGTTTTCGATAGATGCATATATATTATCAATTATGAACAATATTATTATTTCATTTCTAATATATCTTTTTATTTGTGGAATATATTATTGAATAATTTATTTCTGTATTAACCTATATGATTTCTTTATGAATTAACGATTTAAAAATGACACAATATATGCATTCGATTTACGTACTTTTATTTTATTTCTAACGTTTATTAATAATAAAATATTCCTGGTAAAGATATTCATTTCTAAATGTCATAAACACGTTGAAATATACCTGTGATAATAATGCTTACGATGAGATGTTTTCTAAGGAGAGATGGGTCGGGTAAGGGTGACAGGAGAAGATACAGGAAGAGGAGAAAGCATTGATAAATCGTCTGGTACAGGTAATTTGTAAAGGTACCATTTAACTCATCGCCAATGGTTGTTGGAAGGAAGTAAAACGTTGAGAATTGTAAACGTTCGCGAAAAGAGGAGGAGAATCGGAGATTCTTTGTGAAAGGTGAGCGAAGTGGAAGAAAAGGGCAAAAATTCTGTCAAAGGATTCGACGTTTATTGCTATCGGATAGGATTATATACGTATCTAGTTTCGATAAATCTCAGATAATAAAGGGAAACGATTATGAAAAATCTTTTATATCGTCAAGACTTTTTTTACGAATAAAATACTTTTATCAATGAAAAATATCATCTTTTTTTTGTAATAAGTGAAATATTAATTTTTTTGCATTAGAGATGTTACACTTTCGATTACCATTCGGTTTTAACACGATAATTCAGTAATACGTGAAATACGTAAAAGTATTTCAGAAAGGGTGCAAATTTTGGTCATAATTTTGGAATGGTTGTTTCATAATTTGTTCATACTCATTCGAAGATAAGAAATATGCGGAAAAATCAAATGATTCAAAATGAAAAGCAAGCTACCAATCGATTAGGCGAACGTCGAAGTAAGTGGATACAAACGGTGTGGAATATCAGACGGCAATTACTCGGAAGGTCATTCATTAGTATTCCACATTATTCGCATGCATATGCATACGTCTGGGGTGGCTACGCGCTCGTGACTCGGTGTCCTCGAACTCTGCTCCGTTTCTCTCTCTCTCTCTCTCTCTCTCTCTCATAACCCTCCTCAACCCCATCCTCAAACCCCTCTTCAACCCTTCCTTTCTCTTTCTTCCGCCCTCTCGAAAGATCAAGAACACTTTACGCGTTAGTTTTCGCATTAGATTTTAATCTAGATGATATTAGAAAGGCTCCTGTCTACCTCAATGGGAAATATTATCCTTGCGTGATTACCACCAACCTAGAAATTCTTATGATCGTCTTATCTTTCTCTTTCTTTTTTTTTTGGGGGGGGGGAGAATCAAATCTTTCTTTCTTTCTTTCTCCTCAATTGAAAAAAGTAAGTGAAAATAGAATTAAAGATGCAAACCACGTAAAGGATGTAATCCCTGCTTTAAAGACATTCGAGTTGTTTTCAAAAACGATATCAAGTAGGACGTAGATTTGCAGGAACTTTGATATTTTCTTTTTTTTTTTTTTCTTTTTTTTTAATCGTTTAGATGTGTTGAAGAATTTAACATTTAATTATTTCTCCCTCATGTATTGTGGGCACCCTGTTATAGATTTGTACGACACGTGATTCTTCGATAATCTAATTCGATAGGACTAATCGTTAACAGTAAAACTTTTTTCTGATATACAAGATTAAATGTGGCAACCGTTAAGTGTTAAACGTAACACCACTCGGGCACACGACTACTTTAAATTATTTCCGCTAAATTCGAGGAAGCAAAGCTTAAAGACAGAAGAAATTGATGGTTTTTAAGAGTAGCAGATAAATCGTTAAGATAACACTTGGCCGGAACACTTAACTTCGTATCGATAAAGCATCGAGGTCAAGCTCGCATTCCTTTTCAAATGCGATCGTATAATTTGTTTCTTTTTTTTTTCTTTTTTCTTCTTTTTTTTTCTTTCTTTTATTTCATTTCTTTTCCACGTTTTAAATAAGAATATTACCTGCAGTAAGGTCGCACGAAAAGAAATCCAACGAACGATCGTATGTACGTACGTACGTAAAACTCGAGCTTATACTTTTTTTTCTTTTTTTTTTAAGATAATTAAACTTTTTCTTTGAAATATATAATAATTAAAGAACAATACTCGAGAGAAGAATATATGTATATTATTCGTAATAACGCGTATCCATATACGAATATCTATTATACACGCTAAATAAATAATTTACAAAAAGGTTCGTTACGTTCTGCGAAAATTATTTCTGCTTAATCAAAAAATTGATAACAATTTATTTGTTAACACAATTGCAATATCAAATAAATCATAGAAAAATTACCGACACGTTAAACATACTTTTTATTGAAATGAAATTAAAAATTCATAGAGACATTTTAATTGTTTAACGATACACAAAATTGCAATAAATTAAAAGTTTAATAATTTAACCAATGATAATTTTCATACTTATAATAATAATTTTGTATTGTTTTTTTTGTTTGTTTACAGCGAAACTGGACCTGACATCGAAGGATACTTGCAGTGGTGCTAGCGGGAATTACGATCGTGGAATAAACGGAGTAATCGGACAATCTCAATTCCTTTTGGTACTGAGTTTAACCCTCGGGACAGTTTTTTTAACGCGGACGAGAATGAGCTTAGGTTATTCCGACACCGTAGAAGGTGCTCGTCTTTATGATACAAGAGGTCTCGTCTAGCTCCTGGTTACGCTCGTTTTACGAGCCGTCCTCGATCCTTAGGGAATTTCGAGTCGTTGATTTTCAAACAAAATTAAACAAATAACAAGTAGTCGAACCGGTAGTCGAAGAACGATATTGATAGTCGAGAAACGAGAAATATGCATATATTACGAAAATCAGATCGAAGCTAATAATAATAATAATCGTTAAAATACTATTTGCAAAAAATATATACCATAATGGGTTATCCGATAAGATAAATGCAACAAGTCGATGTTTAAATATTGAAAGATAACGAATAATATGAAAAACAAAAAAAGACAAAAAAGAAAATATATAAAAGGAAGAAATAAGAAGGATATAACAAATTAAAAAAATAAGAAAAGAAAAAAAAAAAAAAATGGGGCAAATCAAACATATCAATCCGTGTAAACTCCTACGTCGTAAAACAAAAGGAGATGATAATGGTGATGATAATGATGATGATGATGATGATGATATTCGAAAAAGAATTCTCGTCGAGATAAACACGAAGATAAAACGAAAGTTAAAATCGACGATGACAATGACGACGATATATAACGATGACGTTGACGATGACGATGACGATGATGAAAAATAATATCGACTAAAAAAAAAAAAAGAAAAAGGACAATGAAAATATATTCGAGAGTTCTTAGGAGGGCGGGGCGGGGGAGGGGAAGAAAGAAAAAAGAAAAAAACCCTTAAAAAAAACAGGGGAAAAAAAATGAAGAGACGACAACAACATTAACAACAACCAACCAACCAACACACATAAGAAGTATATAAATAAATATATACATACATATATATGTACGTATCTATATAACATATATATAGGTATATTATATAAATATTATACATCTATATATGTATATGGATTAGATCGTTAAATGGAGAACGTAAATGTCGGCCATTGTCCTTCTTCTCACGCGTTCTCCGACGATCAACCGTGATATGGACTAATGAAGTGCAATGAAGAAAATGCAGTAGATGTAGAGACAGAAAGAGAGAGAGAGAAAGAGAGATAGAACGAATAAATGAATGAACGAATGAATGAGTCTGTGTATGTATGCGTGTACGTACGAATGAATACTAGACGACAGTGCAAATGAGTGAATAAATGAGTTCTGCTACGAATATTTCATCCATATTAGCTCCGTTCTGAGATGATGCCTGATGATGATTATGATGATGATGATAATGATGATTATGATTATGATGATGATTGATTTGACAGGATGCGTGACTCTTCAGTTTCGACGAGGCTATGATCAAAAATTATTCCTTGCATTTATGTGTATATATACATATATATATATACATATATAAAATTAAAAAGAAAGAGATAGATGGGGAGAGAGAGAGAGAGAGAGAGAGAGAAAGGTAAAATACATGCATATATGCGTATATAAACGCTAGATTCGAACGTTCAGAGTTGAACATCGTCGAATCACTTATTCCCATCGCGATAAATGCTTCCTAAGGTAACCTCCAAGGTTAAAGGGAGTTGCTAACGAGTCCATTATCGTCTACCTTTCTTTCTCTCTCTCTCTCTCTCTCTCTCTCTCTTTCTCTCTGTCTTTTTCTTTCCATCTTTCTTCTTATCTTTCTTTCTTTCTTTCTTGGCTTATCTCGCAAGCTACGCAAGACTATTCACAAGACTTATACAGCTTAGCAGATCCGAAATTTGTCTTCTTCCCGTTGTTCTTCTTCTTCTTATTATTATTATTCGAGAAAAATAAAAGAAAGAGAGAAAAGATAATAATAATGGTAAAGGTGATTAATGTACTTTTTTTCAGAAGAGAACATTTGAAATCATTGAGAGAAAATTCGTAAAAATATTATATCGATCGAGTTTAAAAATGAACGAAATAAAAAGAAAAGAGAAGAAAGAGACATAGTAGGGTGTTGGTAAAGAGGGGCGGCTAGTGAGGGGTATGGGGTTTGAAGAAAAAGAGATTCTCGTTTTAAAAGTATCACGAGAAGGAGTTTCCTTTTCGCATTCTCTAAACGATTTTACGAGACAAAACGTAGTAGTAGAAACTTTAGTAATCGTTGAATACGATCCGTCTTCGCGTTCTTCCACTTAAGAAATAATAGGTCGAAACGATCGGTATCTTTATCCAACCTGTATTTCTATTGCCGATAAGTATCGTAACTCGTTTAGGATCTCGGACGAATCGCTATGTTGCGTGACGAAGGCGAACTCGGTGCGCGCTCGTGTCTACCTAGATCGACCAGATTTATGTGTGTGTGCGTGTGTGTGTTTGTGTATTTTTCTGTGCGTATGCGCGTGTTCGTGTCTTCTTTCCACAATATACTTTCGATTACGATATTACACATTTTCTCTTAATATTTTTCTTCGTCTTGCTTGCCCCCGTTTTTCCCTATAACCCCACCCACCCACCACATTTAACAATAAATTTTTTTTGCGCGAATCTAAAAATTAATAATAATGATAACGAACGCGTATTCCTATTACTGATACGCGTTATTATTTTGTAAACGAATCACGCGTATAAAATAAATGTTCGATCTCGTCGATTATACAAATCCTGTGTAATTAACAAATATTTCAACGTTAATATCGAAGAAATAGAGGAAGAGAAGAATTTCCATTTAATTACATTCGCATTAAGGAGCACCGTATTTTTCATTTTTATTCGTTCCCATTGTGATCGTAAATTGGAGAACATAAAAAAGAAGAAGAAACATTTAGGAAACCATCGTTTCGTATTCCTTATTTTTTATCTTTAATTTTAACATTGTATTTATTTTTTTCTTATTATATATATCATTAACTTTATAATAAGCTTTTAATCATGCAATTCGATCCTGTCTTATTCTTATTGAAAATACTAACTCTCACATTTTTTAAAAGGAAGAATAAGAAATTTCTTGATCTCGCATCTCTAGGAAAGGATAACTATTATTCGATCAAATAATCCATGATGGCGAACGGTTACTCTTTTATTATCGCTATAGTATCTGGGTCACCGTGACGGAAACTTTATAGATCTAGAGAGGGAGATCGCACCCTAGCAATCTCCAAAACGTTATCTCCTAGCACAGTCATCTGCCCCTCGCACCCTCACCCCTCCCCCAGAATAAAATGGCCAGGTTAACGCGACTTCGGCTGTTACATACTGTTACATATATATATACCGAACGTACACAACTATCGATATTAACATTTCATTCAAACTTAGTCAAAAATCTTATCATTATTATTTCTTAATACATAATAATACATAAACAACAACAACAACAAGAAAAATTAATAATAACTGTAATCATCGTAATTATTTAATCGACAATTTGAAATCTAATCTTATTATTTATCATGATCATTCGTATAGATTATTTTTCAAATAATTCTTCGCGTTTTCTTGAATATAATATGTAATATATTTTCTTAGTTTCTCTTGTCAACACAATCGTACGTCTTATATACACATACAATGCAAATAGAGAGAGAGAGAGAGAGAGAGAGAGAGAGAGAGAGAGAGACAAATGCACTTATACAAACCCGAAACACACTGTTTGTAGACAGAGCCAGGGTAATACGAGCTGCAATTCGATCTATATGCTCTGCGGCGACCGATACGTGCGCATGTTTGTAATGCGGTGCAGGTCACTGCAGTCGATCGTATGTACGTATATACATATACACACGTATGTTAGTACGTATACATAGATATATATATATATATCTACATAAAGGTATAGGTACAAAATTGCGGAGACTTAAACGCCGCTTGAAACGAGCTTGGGACACCTAACACAACGCCTGAAATCGTTAACATCGATCGTAGTCGATCGTTATTATTAATCCAAAGTGTACCCTCTCGAAATGAGGCCCCCCACAGTTGCTCTTGCAAGATAGAACCTTTATATATACATATACATATATATGTATACGTGCTCGTGAATCGAAATTGCAGGGCTTAGAACTTGGCCTCCGCACTGCGGTATTACCGGTATTATCGATATCGAGGTGCCTAATTCTACAAAATTTTATACACTTCTCCCCCTGCCAATTTACTATTATCAAAAAAACGTCTCATTGAAAGTGTATAAGAGCTAGAGAGAGATAGAGAGAGGGAGAGAGAAATAGATGATCTTTTATTGGTTCAATTGTAATCAATCTTAAGTCAAATACCGTATGTGTATTTTTTTTTCTCAAGATTCGTTCATTACTTTTTTAATCATTTTATTTAGATTATTATGATTCTTTTCTTGTTAAATCTTAACTATTTAAAAATAAATAAAAAATTACAAAGACAACGCGTATATAGGATTAGAAACCGATTACTATACTATTCGCGTTCTATATTGATAATAAACTTTTGTCTTCGTATATATATATATATATATATGTATACGGTGAACCGATTTATTATTTAACATTTTTTTCCTTTTGTCGAATTTTTACTTATTACGAAATTTTCCAAATTTGCCTATTATTTCCGAGAATCTATTCATACGAACGTTTTATCNTCTCTCTCTCTCTCTCTCTCTCTCTTTCTTTCTCTTTTTAACTGTGTGATGCACGACAGATCGACAGGTCTCTCGTTCGCAGCAAACAAATCTACCGGGGGTAACTCGGTGTGTATCAAAGAGAAAAAGAAAGAGAGAGAGAGAGAAAGAAAGAGACAGATCGTAGAACCGTGTCGTGTCGTGTCGTGTGTTCACACACACGAGTTCTCCTACTGATTACACGGATGACTTGTTCGTTGGTCATTCGGCCGAGCGGATACATGAATTAGGAATAAACCGGATGATCCGAATTCAAAATATTCGTATACGAACAAACGCGTTAGAGATGAATATATATTTATTTCTATTATTATTATTATTATTATTATTATTATTATTATTATAACGAAAAAAAGGAAAACTAGATTCTTTTTATTTTTTTATTATCTTCCGATACCTCAAATGATTAATGAGAACGTTCGTTCCCTACCTCTCTCCCTCCCTTTCCCCGATAATTTATAATTTTATTTTATTTTTTGTATAAAAAAAATAAAAGAAAAAAAAAAGAGAAATAGGAATCTATTTGTTTTTAATCAGAGACACACGTATTATCTTCCATATGTCCACCGATGGCATACTCGCGAATAAATCGAAGGACACATTGTGTCAGTCGAAAGAAAGAAAGAAAAAGCTAGAGAGAGAGACTGAGTTAGGGTGTGAGAGAGAGAGAGAGAGAGAGAGAGAGAGAGAGAGAGAGAGAGAATGATATTGGCAGATGAAAAGACGAATCTTTATCACGAGAAGCGACCGGTAGTATTTCAGCAGTCTCACTGGGTCATCACATATATATATATATATATACACACACACACATACACATTCTTATAACGTTATCCTCGAGTTTATCCTATGCCTATATCCCTCGCGTGATGTACGGTTAAACCTACTTCTTTCCACGTAAAGACTATCCTACCTTCTCTCTCTTTTTCTTCTTCTGGAACTTTGTCTCATAAATCGTATTCAACTATCGTTCCCGTTTCCTTTTTTCTTCATCGATATTACCCTGATCCCACATTTTCTCTCCCTCTCTCTCTCCCTCTGCCTTTCTTTTTTTTCTGATTTAATCCTTAA